TAGTAATATGATAAAGGAACGCAATAAATTACAAGCAGGCAATTAAAAAAAAAGATATATCTATGCTCTTTTTGGCTTTGATGATTTTTATTTTATACTAGCTATTTCCAAATTCTAGAGACTATAAAAACCAACGAATAAACTTAAGCTAAATAAAATATTACTTGATCTACATATAGAGATATATTTGCAAGCAGTGCGCGCTAAGATGTAGCATTGTAAATATTTACTTGAAAATCGATGGATAGAGGTCAAAGATATACATACATATATACTACGAACAAAGAAAAAAGTCAAAAAACCCTTTTATTAAAAAATGAAAATTCTAAAGCGATCTATATTATTAATACCTAACACCATAAAATACCCAATTTATTTACAATACAATACACGTTATAAGGTCTGTAAATTTTTGTCGAAAAAGTAAACTTTATTATAGCTACAGTAATTTTACAAGTTTTATAGTTTATATCTGAAAATTAAAACAGTATCCAAAAAGTGCTTCGTTAAATTGCTTTAGATATCTATTACACGAAACCCAAATTGAATTCTGTTGTAACAAAAATTTTACGAAATGGATTTAGGGGTGTTAAATCCGATAGTCAATTTATTGGCTCCACTTACGTTTCTTACTTTTAAGGTGGTGAGCCCATAAAATATCGCAACTTTTTTTAATACGATACAAACTCGTTTCCGGTCCGCCATTTTTCAAAATGATGCTCACGTATACTTATTTGTATTTTATTTTAAACGAAATTAGTTTCTTTATTTATAAATTTTTAAATATCAAATCTATGTATAATTCATACAATAATTTCTATTAAGAAGTTTTTTTAACCAAAAAATCCAACCGTCCTTTAGTTCTTAAAACAGCAGTGTAATAAATATTTTAATATTTTTTATCAGTAGCGTCAAAAATAAAACCAGCGACTATAACCATAAAATATAAATCTGGAGAATATGTTGCTATATAAAGTTAAAGAGTTTGTTTCTCTGTTTGTTTGAACTCTCCGAAATACGATAAGATCCAATTACAAATATTCTTTTAGTATTTTATCTATTGAAAAATTACACATAAATAAACTACATAAGCGGAGCCGCAGGTAAAACATAGTATAAGACTTAGAAATTTAGTGACATTTCTTGAGAAACTAATAGTTCTTAATAATAGATTTTCTTAATAATCAAGCATAAAAATAATTAACATTTTTTTATTATAGAGTGCCTAATAAAATTATTATTTCATTACTTTAAACGGAACCAAGACACTTGATCTACATTTTGACATACATAGGAAACATAAGCATGTCTAAAACTTCTGCCATACCCATTCACAGCTTGAAATAGCCCTCTAAAACCTGCCCGACTAAGAACGGCCCGGCCGGTTATTGATTCTATCTCGAGACAACGACGTAACTGTGATATTATGAAGTTATCCTATCTGCTGTTCAATCATATTAATTCATAAATAACGCTGAAATATGTTTAAAAAATAATTTGAACGCCAAAGTTTTTCCTATTTTTTATATACAAAATTAAAAACTTTTAAGTCATGTATGTCTATTATATTAATTTTTGAAGATTTTGTATGTTCGTATAGATTTATACATATACAATTTAGCTAAATAGTACACTTACGTCATTAAATTCTATAAATTTTCTAAAGATAAGTCCACCCTTGCATGTATATAGACATAACCGAACCAAGAAACAAAAAAGAATCAATTAAAACACCTATTTCAGATAAATCGCACAGATATTAAGCAAATATTTTCAGTGCCAAGAAAATGTTAAAGTTATTAAGTTTAATAATAATTAGTTTCTATATTATTATAATACTTGTGCCTTACCTACGTTTTAAATATGTAGATATGAATAGTTATGGCGAATGTACCTCAGGAGACAGACTTATGCTATTGCAGATTTTTCTGTAGGCCTTCTTCAGACCTACAATTCTAACACATTGTTTTGATGTATCTCTTAAAGTTTAGCCAGGCGTTAGACATGTTCTAAGAACGAGTCGATTGAACCATTTATTGTGTATTCCCTTGAGAATGAAAGAATTTTTTGGGTAAAACTTATCCTAAATGTTGACCCGAATAATAAGTTATCATTACACAAAAGTTAAATTCGCTTGAGTACTTTTTAAGTGAAACGCGCACATCGATTTCGCTAAGTTACTATTTTATTATATATACAGATAACCTGTGTTTCGATCTTAATAAAACTTTATTTAATTTAAGCAGTTATATAAGACTTCACATACCTTTAGTTTAACCAGCTTAGGATACAGTTTGTCGGACATTCGATATCGATTCAAGGCGACACCGAAACACCTCGCCCTCGCACGACGAAAGATTAAGTTACGTGAGTTTTAGTAGCTATAGAGACTGTTTGGAGAAACAATGTTACAGTAGAAGCTTTTAAAAATATAGATATAAACTTCTAAACTCTAAAAGTATAAGGTTTATGTGAAAATATCACCAACATTTGATTTTTATCTTACAATACACTCTAATAAAAATGAAAAAATGCCGTAAAATATTTTTTGATACGTCTTACAGTTTCCGAGATATTTAATTGTTTAGGTAGACATACGATAAATCGGAGTCATCGGCCGTTGTGACATCATTTTACAACGGTCGGTCAGTGCGTGCTCTGCTCCCGACCTGTGGGTATGAAGTTTGCGTCGAAAATTGATAAAAATGTCGAATCCATAAACTAAAAAATAATAAATAAAATATATAAAATCCACGATCATATTAAAGAGCAAATTAATATGAAAGCCTTTTCATCTTAGCTTAATAATATTTAATAGGTGTAGTCGCGTGCATCCTAACACAACTAGTATCCATAACAAAAGCTTCGTAGCTTACCATTTTTTTTTTAACGTTGGGAAATGCATTTACGCACGACGTGTGGGACTCACCGGCGTAATACAGCCAGTACTACCCACTAAAACCCAACAAAACCTTCCCCCGTCTTAATGGGGCGTCGCAGGATCGCTTACGCATTCAACTACGACGCCCCGACGGCAGGTCTGCCGAAGCAGACCACCACAACCATGGGGTTACTCCAAGGTCCACTCTGCTATCAGAGAAGTACCAGGAGCAACCCGCATGGTACACCGCCCCCCGAAGAGGGCCACCTCCCACCGCCCACTGAAGTGGGCAACCTCCCTGTGCGTTTCTTAGCTTCGCGCCCGGTTGGATTGCCGGGCACTACTGAGCCCCCCCCACCACGACAAGGTGAACGCACGTTGGGGGGGGGGAGGGGGTTCGTAGCTTACCATGAAACTAATGATGTTGAGGAAACTAATGTCCCAACAAAATATTTATTTATTTATATCTAATTCTAGCATTGCCCGCGGCTCTGCCCGTGGTCAGGTGACCAAAAACCAAATTCTTAGGTTTTACATATTAGTATACTCTTACATGGCAGTTTTTGTATTTTTTCTCAGAAATGAGATATTTTCCCGTGATAAAAAGTATCCTATTCCCGTGATAAAAAGTATCCTATCCTATATGTTGACCTGGATAACTAGTTATCCGGATAACAGACAGACAGACAGACAGACAAATATTCTAAAAACTATGTTGTAACTTCAACACTGCTTGCTTGATTTAAATGAAACAAAAACAGGTGTATTTCTCAATATTTAGGCTACACGGTCATAAAGTTTCAGGTCATTTAACAGGACCAGTAACATTCTTCATTGCCGTTGCTATGTTCAAAATATATACACATTTTTAAATCTTTTGCTTCGCTGTATAGGAATAAATATCTTTTTGAAATTATGAATACAACAAGACATAATTTCTTATTTAAAAATATTTTATAGGCAACTTAAGTTAAAATGTGTAAATGCTTGTATCCTCTGGTAAGATAAAGAAACAGGTTTCCACTCTATCTATCAATTTTCACCATGTTCGAAGAAGTGTGCTTTGGAAAACGGAAACCAAATTTGCTTTGCTATACATACGTAAATCTATAGTTATTATAATTTATAAAAAAGAAAAGTTTGTAAGTTTGGGTGAACCTCTTCACCCTAATCTCGAAAACTACTGATCCGATCATAATAAAAATAGCCTAAGCACTCACTGGTAATGTATTACCTATCCCATAAATATTATAAATGCAAAGTTTGGGTGGATGTTTGTTACTCAATCACGCCAGAAAGGCTGAACGGATCTGGATTGAATTTGGCACAGAGATAGATCATAGTCTAAAATAGCATATAGGTTACTTTTCATCTCGGAAAAATGTACGGTTCCCGTGGGATAGTTTTGTTTTTGTTTTCCACTAGGGACGAACCCGAGCAAAGTGAGGGTCAGTAGCTAGTCTATACTAATATTATAAAGAGGCAAAGCTTGTGAGTTTGTGACGTTCTAGGGGGGGATATCTCTGGACCTACTGAACCGATTTAGATGAAATTCGGTAAAAAGATAGTCTAAGACCCGGGGAAGAACATAGAATACTTTTTATCCCGGAAATTATCCCTAAGTGGGTGAAAATGGGGATGAAATATTGATTTGTAAAGCAAGCTAGGGACGAACCTGAGAGAGTAGTTAATAATAAAAATCAGAATCGTATCAGTTATTTCATCACTCCCAACATCCAAACTAAATAAATTTTGCCTTAGTAAATTGTACATATTTTTTACCTCAATGATAAGGGCCTATATTATCTACACAAGCGAAAAAAAATATGTAAAACTAAATTAGTGTTGTAATTCGGAAGTTCGACGAAGTTTTAAAGTTTTAACAGATTTTAAATTTATTTTTTCACCTTAATTGAATATTGTTTCAAACAATTCTCAATTCAACTGCAACAAAAACCGCGAATGCTATACACTTGACTGATTTTAATTATAAATTAGCTTTTGTAACCGTGCTTAATTGCATCATAGTCGTATTGAGGTAGGATAAGCCATGACGTATAGAAAAATAAAAAAATATTGATGTCATAAATATCAATGTATATGACACATCACATTATTATAGGGCCGGAGGGTTGGAGGGCCGGCGGGTCAGAGGACCGCCTCTCGGAGGCCCGCCGCTCGGAGTACCACTGCTCGGAGGGCCGCTGCTAGGAGAGCTTCCATTCGAAGGGCCGCGGCTCGAAGAGTCGCCGCTCGGAGGGCCACCGTTTGGAGGGCCGCCGCTCGGGGGGCCTCCGCTCGTAGGGCCGGCGGGTCGGAGGGTCGGCGTATCGCGGTGCCGCGATGTCGGGGTGTCCGAACTCGGGTGGAGCGAGCGTGAATCGCTCGTATAGTTATAGTTTTTGAAAAAAGAACTCTTCGAAAACTTTGTATTTTTTTTCTTAACTTGCCAGTTTGCTTCCTGCATTGGATTAAGTATATTAAACCTATTTTCAAGATATTCAAACAGCGATTTTAAGTTTAGTTCGAATACGAATTTCCGCCTGCTTCCTTTGTGATCAATTTTTTTCAGTTTCTTTGAAATAAGTTCCTAGTGTTATGCATTGTTGTTTTTAAAATAATCTGCGAGCCAAGTTTTAAGGCATTTTAGTGGAAAAAAATCTCAAAAAAAAATTGAAATAATATCTATAATAATAATAGTTTTTCGTCTCGCATTTTTACATTTGTACTGATAATTGTTGTTTTAATATTGATAATAACCAGTGTGTAATCGTTTTTCTAAATCAGAAGAAAAAATCAGATTTAAATTGATATTTTTATTTATAAATTTTTAATATTGCATTTTTGACTTATTTTGAAAAAGCTACAAAATATGATAACTCGAAAATGACTCACTTTTGAAAAATGCATATGGGGGTTAAAATTATCGAAAATAGTCACCCCTATCACCTCCTAACGGGAATACGTAGAATTACCAATAACCCTGTATATATAAAAATCAATTACTGTTCGTTAGTGTCGCTAAAACTGAAAAACGGCTGGATCGATTTCAAATCATTCTTTTTTGTTTTGTTGGGTGTGTCCGGGGTTGTTTAAGTATAAAAAAATAGGGAATCCCCATAAGAACAACTGGAAAATCAAAAAGTTCAGAACTGTTTATTTTGTATGGGAATCACTCACTACTTCGGATTAACTACAATGGTGGTGGACTTACCATCTACAAAAATGCGTCAAGTTTAAGTTAGAAATAAATTATATATATATATAATATATATATATATATATATATATATATATATATATATAATATTATATATAATATATCTATTCTATACTAACCGCAAATAAGTACATGAACTCGAGCGCAGCGACGCGAGGGTAAGTCGCTAGTTTGTACTAATATTATAAAGAGGTAAAGTTTGCGAGTTTGTGACGTTGTAGGATCTGGATCTACTAAATCGATTTAGATGAAATTTAGTAAGAAGACAGTTTGAGACCCTGGAAAGGACATAGGATACTTTTTATCCCGAAAATCATCCCTTAAAGGGGTGAAAATGGGGATGAAAGTTTGTATTGGGAATCAAGCTAGGGAGTCGCTAGTATTATATAAAAGTGGCAGAACATTAGTTTTGCCACTATTAGAAAAGTTTTTTTTTTAGAAAAGTAGAAATGATAGCACGACCGAGTTACGAGTATTATGTCTATAATACTTCAATGTAAAAATTAAAGTAATAAAGTGTTTGTTTTGATTTGAAAAAGCATTTACCACGGTAGTGAAACTCTTTGATCTTTAATTTTTTGCTCTAACCGATAACTATTTAGCAGTGACGAAGGTTAAAATTTTAGCAGAGGTAAGCCATTCCAACAACAGAAATCATGGTCACGGGAGAGACTAAGAGATATCTCAAATGTTATTTATATAGTTATTACAGAAATCCGAAAAGATAGCTGCATTTAAAAATGTCACTCATCAATTCTCTATTTTATTTTGAGAAAACAAATCAATGCGTATCACAACTGTCAGTCATTTTTCTTTTTAGCCGTTTTCTCATTAAAATATTGTTTATTGCTTTACAAAGTATCGAAGTATGAGTTAACTCTGCATTTTGTTAGTAACGTCTTTCGTAAGTCTATAGTATCGCTGATTATTATTTTAATAGTATACTTAGTATACGTGTGTTTTTATTACAACGTTTTAACGTTTAGTATACATTTCTCAGAAATTAGATATTTTCCCGCAATAGAAAGTATCCTATATGTTGACCCGGATAACCAGCTATCATCATACCAAATTTCATCAAAATCACTCCAGTGGTTTTTCCGTGATGCGGTAATAGACAGACAGAGAGACCAAAAATCTAAAAACTATAGATTCGGCCTCTGTATCGATAATAATGTCTATTTCAATAAGACTTTTCAAAAAAATTAAAAATATTTAATGTACAGATTCGACTTAATTAGAATTTTATTATATGTATAGATTATAATGTTGTTTACTTTTGAATCTTAGTTTGAGTACATTAATTGTTATTTATAAAAATAGTTTATTTAGACAAAAGGTAGGTATTTTATTCGTAGATATTAAATGATATATTAAAAATTTTAATTGCGTACATTCAATCTATTTCTGTGTACATAAAATTTGTCTTAAGTAACAAAATCCAATCGTAAAGAAACTTTTACAATTTATTTTATACAATTCAGAAATAAAGAAAAAGTGGGTAAAGTTTAAGAGGCTTACGAGAATTTACAGAGGGTGCATAAATATCGAATAGTACATAAACTTCACAGTCACGACCTATGTTTCTGAACAGAGGACAGCAAAGCTATCTGTTAAGCTTGCGCATTAAAATGTCCACGCTGTGCCGTGTTAACTACATTTCATAATGCTGGCTCTACACTGGGCCAAGTTGGTCCAGCTTGTTCTAAACTAACCAAAGTAACAAACACAAACATAATAGAATTTTGGCGGAAAACTGAATATTCACTGTTTGCCTCACAAGAAATAATGAAATGATGTAGTTATAATTAGAAATCTTTTTTATACTATAGCGCTAGCTGATGATGATGATGTTCTCCTAGCCGTTTCCGGCCACGGCGGCCAATCTCATTGAGACTAGCTAACTGCGCAGGAGATATTTATAGTGCACTAGTGTACGTGCAGACACAAGTACACTCTCTATTCCTGTCACTCTCATACTCCGGCGGGACGACTGCTCGACACGACCGGAGAGTCTCGGCGCAGGACCGACGGTTTTACGTTCTCTCCGAGGCACGGGAGTGAAACACCGCCAACTTCCCAACTCCGGGCTGTTACTAAGACTTACTATACAGAAAGACTCAATAACTCAACTTGGACCGATCCGGGACTCGAACCCAGGACCTCCGAGTGTGCAGCCGTACATGCTAGCTACTACACCATCGAGGCAGTTCGAGCACGCCGAGCAGCGCTAGCTAACATATACAGCAAGCAAAGGATTTTCGATTCTCCTTGATATAATAAACTAACGTAGATTTATCTGACAGCGATTATGACTATTTTATAAAGTTTTCGTGTTAGTAGAGCTGAATAAATATTAAAATCTCTTTAATGATGTTTGCTTTTAATTACTTACATGAGCCACGTCACGAGCAGGTGGATGGAGGCTTAGATATGTACCTATATTTCTACTGGGAATCTTACAATGTTGTAATCATTTCATTTTTTCTTAAATAAATTAAGAATTATAAGGGCATTAGAGAAATATTTTTATTATATTTTTTGCGTATATAACGCATAAGTACGTACATATAATACTTTCTTAGATTTACGCGAATGTTTGACATTATTAAATAACATACGTACATATATCTATTTCTAGTATCTACATATTGTCCTGTTATAAATATCATATTTAGGTATTTGAGTATTTCTCTAAATAATAAGCAAAACAATAATACTTTCTTAGATTTACGCAAATATTTGACATTTTAAATAAAACTATCTTTTCGGATTATTTCGCGGATTTATTTTTGATTTTTGGTTCCCGACGTTTCGAATGGTTTAGAGCAATCATGGTCACGGGAGAGACTGAGGTGTTAGATGTCTCGAAGGTATAGGTATAGTAAAATTAAAATAAATCCGCGAAATAATCCGAAAAGATAGTTTTATTTAAAATAAGCAAACAAATTGTATGAGTAGTTTTTTGTGTAATCATATTAATAAATATTATTAATAATTTCACTTATTATATCTTTTATTATAATATATATATTTTTTAAAACAAAGTTTGTGAAAATTTCGCATCCAATCAAAGAGTAAACGCGGTTACGGTTAGCGTTTACAGAAAATGTTATAGCCACCAGCGGCAGAAAGGAATTTCTAAGTAGGTCAGACCGCTCTTCCGTCGCTAATGTTGACTCAGCGGAGTTTAACTAGACAGGTATTAGCTAAGTAAACATTTGTATAGGATGGCTCAAATCCAAAATTCGTATGTCTCACATAATGATTATTAATCTGAGATATGGCGGCGTATCTCAGTCATAAAGAGATTATAGCCTGCAATTTTCATACTACATCCATAATGCTTTTATTATTTTACTAGTACCTGGGCGACTGAGCTACGCTCGGAGTTTTTGGCCTAAAGTACAATTTTCTTTCTTTTTAAATTAAAAACTTGAATAAATGTTTAAAATAAAACAAAAGTGAAACTTTATATGCGACCGAGATTCGAACCTGGACACCTATGATTGTTGATCTTGCACCTCGGCCGCTTGACCACGATGCTTACACCAAAGCGTGCAAATTACCGACCATATTTTGCGTGGAATAATGCAAAAGAAAACTGCATGAAAACTCAAAAACAGGCGTTTTCTCAGACATAAGACTAATCTAGATCGAATATATATATATATATATATATATATATATATATATATATATATATACATAAATACACGTACAAGAATTGCTCGTTTAAAGATATAAGATACTTGTCACGGTATTCGGTAACGAGGTGAAATTATAACAAATATTCGTGACAATATTTACATAATGTCCTTCGTTGTTTACGCGTGATTCAAAATTGTCAAAAATATATTTGATAATAAAAAAAAAACAAAAAAACCTATGCAATATTCCGTTAAACGCCTCCACTTTAAATCTATGACTTAGCCTGTAATGTGAACTACTGACGCAAAGTTATATTAAAATTGAACAGTGCTTCTAAAAAGATAGTTACAAACATGAAACGTTACAAAGACTTCAAAGAAAAGTATAATTGTAGCAGCTTTAGAACAAGTATAAATTATTCATACCACAGTTTGATGTTCTAATAACCTTAGGCGATCTCGACTCTGGTTTTACTATGGGTAATGTATTCAAAAATTTAATTGTGGTTTTATGACGATATTATTCAGAGGAAAGTAATGAGGTTACTTAGAAGACAGTTGAACGACATAAAGACGATTTCCAATTCAAGAGCTTCA